GCTGTAGATATCTTGTATATATATATGCCTTTGCATTTTTGTGCTTGTTTTGGCTTGGCCACAGCGACAGCCCCCTGTTGCACGGGCTGTGAGGGAGAAGGAGGATGCGGGGCAGCACGAGACGGTCCTCTTGACTGGATCCTGAAGCTCATTCATCTCGTCCTGCTGTTGCTGCATTCAAGAACGTGCGCTGAACGTTAAGTAACCGCTGTGTGCTAAAAGTAGACTAGGTGCTCGGTGATCTGCGCCTTGTGTCCTCCAAAGAAACCTACCACGTGAAAGAGGTGCGCACTCTCTCTTCTGTTTGATTTAAATCTCATCCCAAGCGTGGCCGAATGTAAAATGTCCTCCAAAGCAGAAAACCACGAAGAGCTAACTACAATCTCAGAACGAGAACCACTCTATAAATAACCGAACCCATTGATGCTTTTACTTTGGTTTAGAACGGAAGTCGAACTGTCTCTGCATTCTCTTCCATAAATGCGGGATCAAAGCGACTGGGAGAAAATGTATGTATGTTCATTTAAAGAGCCCCCTGTGAATAGAGTCTCACTTCAAAGAACTGTTGAGTACAAAACGTGCATTAAGTGGCTGAGAATTTTGATAGGTTTGTTTATATGCAACGACATGGAGGATGGAACCGAATGTATTTTCTATTGATTTGCTTTTAATTTGCATTGTCTGAACGCTCTGAATAGAGCACTGCTCCATTTATTATGTTCAGCTGGTAATTACTACTGGATATGGGATAGCTGTCACACAATGGCAGTTCACAGCATTTTGCTTGAAATTTACATGTATTGCATTGCATTTGCAACATTGAGATAAATTAATTAGAGATATTTAGTTTGAAACTTGAGTGAATCTTGTCAACAACATGTCTGGATCATTTCATCCAAAAATCGAGGAAAAAAAATTGCACTTTGACATTATTTTCACAAAAAAACGATTCATATAAATTTAAATTCCAAAAACAACAACAACCTTGAAAAATGTATCATGATTTCCACAAAAATATTAAGCAGCAGAACACTATTTCAGCAGTTTTCAACATTGCTAATAATAAGAAATAACATATGACATTTATATGAGACATATATCTAAAATATTTTTGTATGAATTATATAGTATGTATTATATATAATATTATATAATACATAATCTAATTATATAATTTATTATATAATTATAAAATATTAGTTTTCTTATAATTAATAGATTAATAAGGTTAGGGTGTAAAAATGGACTTATCTAGCATGGAAGGCCAACATTTTTTCTTTATGCAAAGTATCTTTTTTCTTTTGATCTTGGGGTGAAATGTGACCTGGACAAGATTTCATGAGATTCACCCTTGATAAATGATATTCTGAAATGATGAAACTGTTAAAAGATATGCCAGCCAAGCTACACTTCCACTCTCAAATGAGCCTTCCATAGATTTACATTCACCTTGATTGGTAGTAAACTGGTGAATCTCCTCAAATGGTCCACACGACACGATTATAATTAATAGAACAGCTGGCCTCTCAGACCTGGCAAATGTCAGATGAGGGAGAATGTTATGAAATCTATCTTCTCGAACCTTCATCACAACTGAGGCTGGAGTCATGCTATATTGTGAGCTGAAGTTCACTCCTGCTTTTTACCTTACGCCCTCCAAATGCCAACTAGCCACTATTTATTTCAGTGCTGTGGCAGAATCCATCAGCAAGCAATAACTACGGACTGAGCGTTTCATCAAATTATAGCAATACTCTGGCAGCAATAACAGCCATGCCCAAGCAAAACCAACACCTCAGCTAGCCGGAAAAATAAATCCACAAAAAACCCACCACAAAAATACGAGTGGGTTCCAAGAACGACTGACAACTGTACTTATTTCGACATCATCCGAATGATATTAATGAATTTGGGATTAGAAAAAAACAGAAACTGGACAGATGTCCCAATCCCTGTAAACATGTATCTCACAGCCTTGTGTTCTCTCGTCCAGAAAGTGACTGTGCCTGCGGTCATTTACGGTATCTAACTATGAATGAAATCTCTCTGTACACTCAATGTGACCTACTCTGCAGTATGCATTTGCTTTTGCGAACCTTAGAGATGTTTATAATGTGTGAGGAATGTGGTGTAAGGTGTGACTGTCGGTGCATGGCCGCGCGTGTGCGTGTACGTGTGAACGCATGCATATATGTTCGTATCTCCAGGGACAATGATGTAGTTGGGGTAATAATGTATATTCCCCATAGACCTGCATGGGCTAGAGTGGCAACCAGTCTTCCCATCGCACCTTCTTTACATCGTGCCTGCGGGTCGGACACACCCTCGTGACCTTTTTTGCCTGAGTGACTTCTATACGATTCCACTGAAACAGCACATGTGCGGTAGCGAGCAGGTATGCAAGTTTTAATAGGGCTTAGCATGGAGGCAATGACCGGTCTGTTGCAGGCCTCGACTGACTTTTGAGGAATAATTTATTTTGCTATATTCATCGAAAGTCTCTATTTTCCCCCCTCAGTCTGGATTCTCTTGGAATTCCTGAGATTTTATTTTGTATTCTGATGCGCTGTATGGTCTCTTCTGAATGTATCGACAAAGACATTCTTATCGTTGCTATGGCTGATCGTCTTGATCCTGTAAATAAGGCATGAGACTTTAAAGGGGGCATGATGGCAACTCTCACCTGATGTCATGGAGTGATGTGGTGATGACATATTTTTGTAACCTGAAAGTTAGCATCACCCTGGTTTCCAGTCACAAAATACCAATAGGAACTTTCCAGTGGGTTTTGGATTATTGCAGAAAATAAGCTCTGTGACCAACAAAAATCCTGATAATCATCATTATAATCTTATATCTTAAATATGGTGCTACCCTGACTAGTGACTAGACTAGAATAGTTTGCAAGAGCGCGATTATAAATCCTTTTAGGCTGTAACAGAGAACTAAAAGCAAACTACTAGTAGATGAATTTACCTGTTTGGCGTGATGTCATTTAAAGCAACTGTATGTAGTTTTGTGTATTTTTGCGACTTTTGGAGCCCCACAGTTAAGTGAGTGGAATTCATCGTAAATATATCACTGTGGCAATAACAATGGCTAGCGGTTTAAGTGCATTTGTTGCTGTCTTAAAGCAATCCACCCTTTTCACTGAAATTCGCCTAAACATACTCCAGATGTTTGGCTTTTTAGAATGATTTTGAAACTGATATTTCAAGGTCAAAAACACCACCAACAACTACAAACATACATACAGTTTCTTTAAAGTCCACTGAAAGTCCCATTTAGCTTCTTGTTAGCAACCAGCTTTTTCTAGACAAGTAAAAGCTTTAAAACATTACAAGGGGGTTTTATTGATGTATTTTATTTTGTTGAATAAAACGTGAAAATATCTTGAGCTTGTGTTAATCACAGACCTTATTTCAGGCATTGACCCACTGACTTCAGAACAATCAAACCAGAAATATTCAAACTCTTATTTCCGGTTAAGGCCTACAAAAATATGTCATTCCAGCAATGCTCTATCTGAAACAGTAAACCAGTTGAGCCACATTCCAGTGTCTCCTATTGCCTGGGCATGCTTGTCTACAGTGGATTGAGAGGGTTAATGCTTGATGCGCAGCCGTTTGGTCAGAAATGACCGAGGGATTATCGCGGTGGCTTTTGATGTTTAGGCCTCTGCCTAAAACATCATATCTCCATCTGTTTTTGAAAAGAGCTTTGTAAAATGATGTTATCATGCTTTGTGCCTGGTCTCTGATGGATTTTCCACATGCAGATGGACGTTTGGCTATTGAATCTTTGATTTAAATAGACTTGTATTCAACTGTAGATGACTGTGCTCTGTAATCCAATGTAAGAGCTTGGAAATGTCAAACCGAAGGGCAAAAAAGGGCTCGGATGGGAGTCTGTCTCCTATTCTGTTTTATTTGAATAGGAAAGAAGAGAAAATCATGTCTGGTTTGGTGTCTTGTGAGCAAACTTTCTACATTTACACTAAGATTCAGACTTGTTCTGTACTTTATTTAGTTACTAGAATCAAAATCTTGGAACAATCTGAGGGGCAGTCGGGTGCATCGGTTTCAGCATCTTGTGTACACGTATGTGTAGTTTTAACTGTGAAATGCACTTTATTTTTTTTATGAGAAAAGGCACAACAAATTACTTATCTGCAAAACAATATTATAAAAATTATAATCAACATGCACTAATTAACATTGTAAGACATTGTGTTAACGTGTTGTATATTTTTCCAAGGTGTTGGTTGTATACTTTTATTGCTTTGGTTAGTTTAATGAACTGAGAGATCTTGTTAATTTTGTATTAAAAAGAATGTGCTGTGCATTAAAAATATCCTTGCCTGGGTTTATTCACACTCGCACATCATTTGGCCGAATGCCTCAAATCCACTGTTGCCATGGCGATTCCCAGTCTCAGCTGTACTGTTTCCATAGAGACAGGAGTCTCGGAATCAAAACTGTCCTGTTTCCATGACGAAGGCACTCAGGGGCAGGAACAGAGAGCGTTTTAATGTGATTTGTCGCATTTATATTGTGGCAACTGCCACACATGCACGCAAAAACCAGACACCACTGATCGAACACATTTCAGGTAGTTTAATCAAATCACTTAGGTCAGTTCAGACAAATATAATTACTGACCGGTATGTTTCTCAACATACATAGAAACTTTCATGCAGAAACCTCTGACCTCAACATGCTTATTTATCTGTAGTTTGAGTTGCTATTCACTACATACATTATGTCCATATCATTTATTAACAAGTGTTGCATTAAAAAGCATTAGAAAAATGTAAAAAGCATCATACGTGGGGTAGTTGAGGGAAAAAATTTACTATTTTATTATTTCATAATACAGACGGCCTATCACACTTTTATTAAAATGCATACTGTACAAGATCATTGTGTGCATGGGAAATGCAATGCTAACATTCGCAGGTGAATTAGAGAGTGAGTGTCTGTGAATTTTGTGCATTAGTGTTGTTTTAGTCAGACCAGTCATTGTCCTCAAGCTCAGATTCGTCCTCAGAGTCACTGTATTCCACAGCGATGCGGCGAGACAAGATAGTTGCGACGTCATTGCCCACCGGCTCACGTTTCGCCTGCTGCTCCTGCTGCTCCTGAACTTTTTTCAGCTGGATACCTGCAGTTCAAACAAAAAACTCATAAAAACTCATTCATTTTCAATGAGAGATGAACAATAGTGGGGCTATGCGATGCAATGTGGGCGTCTCTGGCAACTCAACAAAGTTTACGGAAGTTTAACTTCATGCAAATGAGTGAATCAGTGGAGCTCACATGATCTGTCTCCTGTGAGATACTGTAGTTAAGTGTAGGAGGAGAAGTTAAAGTTACAGGAAGCGATTTCACTGCTCTATATGATTTGTTTCTGCCCCCATTCTGGGATATAATAAGAAAAGGATGCGTGGAAAACAGAAATTGTCAGCAATTTGATTCATGCATTGATTGTTCGTCTTGTTCACAATGTGATGCATTATGCACTGCTGTAATTTATATAAAACACTTCAAAAATTGTTCAAAAGTTCAGGGTCAGTTAAAAAATTTTTTTTTTAAGAAATGAATTATGTCAGCAAGGAAGCATTTAATTGACTAAAAGTGACAGTAAAGATTCAGACATTTTTTTTTTGAACTTTCAATTCATCAAAAATGCTTGAAAACCCCCCTGAAAAACGTATCACAGTTACCATAAAAATATTAAGCAGCACAACTTTTTTTCAACGTTTTCAACATTAATAATAATAAGAAGAAATGTTTCTTGTGTACCAAATCAGTATATTAGAATGATTTCTGAAGAATGGAGCAATGGCTGCTGATTATATACTGAAATAGTAAACAGGTATTTTAAATTATATATATATATATATATAAAAATCTACCCATGGTCAAAAACAAGATGTTTATGTTTTGCGAGTGAGAAATGCTTATATTCATAACCTAAACACACTACGTACCCATTCTTATAGCTGCCAGCAGGTCACTGCGGACATCATTTGTAGGCTGGGCCTCATTAGGCACAGAGGGTCGTTTGGGAGTGATGGATTGGGCTGCACTGGGAGGAGGGGTGGGGGCTACTGGTGGAGGAGGGGCAGCCATTGGTCCAGAGGTAGGTGGAATGGGTGGGGCATAGCCAGCAACTGCTCCCATTGGTCCTAGATGGCCTGGAGGTGGGACCGGTCCCATAGCAAAAGCAGTTTGCGCTGATGGGATAATGGCTGGTGGTGGAGGCAGCGGCCCAGAATTCATGTAATCCACACTGTCAAGAGAGGAAGGAAATTAAATCATGCTTTTTTATGTCATGCAACATAAACTGATGCTATATAAATTCAAACATGCATAGTAAAATCATGAATGCTTGTCACAAACATGTTGACCATTAGGTGGCAGAATTTACATGTATACAATATAGAGCAGGGATTTTCAAACTTTCTGATGCAGGGTTAACTAAAACTAAAAATTAACTGAAAACCATTCAAAAAACATTTTTGTTATGTGAAATAAAATATATGTCTACTGAAATAGTTGCCAAGGCAACATTTCTCATTTTAATTTAGTTCAACTTCATGTACTAAAATAATTAAAATTAAATCAAAATTAATAAAAACTGCATAGACCTATAAAAAGCAAAAGCTACTAAAAATGACAAAAACCACAACAAAATGACTATAATTTGAACTAAATTAAAATGAAAACAGAAATATAATTTCTATAATTGTTTTAATTTTTTATAATATTATTATATTAGAGAGACGACATATTAACAAAATGAAATAACTGGCTTTTATATTTAAATACTCAATATTTTATTTTATAAAATATTTACTATGTTATCATTATTATAATTAGATTAGACTAGATATATATTGTAATGTAATATATGTGTGTAATATAATATATATATATATATATATATATATATATATATGTAATATAATATACAAATATAATTTATATTTATATATTTTAAAAATTTATTTGCAAAACTAATGCAACATTTTATAAAATATTGTATGATACTATTTAAAATAATTCATTAATTCTGAAAAATTCTATCTTATCATTTCTGAATCATTAGAAACTAATATAATGTAATAGTTATATTATCAAATTTGGTAAATCTAAAAAAAAAATAATAATAAAATAAAACAAACAACTATAATTAATAGCTTGAGTTCACACATTAATTTTGACAGCCCTAAAAAATACATCTTGTAAAAATTTCTCTCTCTATCAAATTTTCCGTAGACCCCTAGCACCCCTGTGGTTTGAAACCCCCTGGTATAGATAAACTGATTTTTATGACGTATATCTCATGAAAAGTCCAACAAGTGTGATCCAACAATCATGTTTGTAAATCTCTAAACAAATCTGATAAATATTACAGAACATGCTTGAGCATGTTTTAGAATCAACTGTTCCAATTTGGTTTACAATGAAATGATTAATCTAAATAAAAATGACAAACCTGTAGTCGACAGGTGGGAGGGTCACAGAGCCATTAATTGTGTTTGATGCTGGTGGAGGAGGCGGAGCATGGTGCGGACGACCCAGTGTGCCAGAACGGTATGCCATAGACCCTCCCCGGTAATCCTGCTCCATGGTCATGTGGCTATGAGCTGACAGGGCCGCCATACTGGGTGGAGGCCCTGAGTAAGTGTGGGCGTGACCAGCATGGTTGGCCATGGAGAGATAACCATGATCTGCATGATCTCCATGAGACCTGCATGAATTATGAATCAGATTAGATGAAACGGAGTTTATATATGTGCACTCAAGTGCATGTAGTCTGTGTTACCTGTGCTCTGGGGACATGGTGCCCTCCGTGGAGCCTCCTCTGTGCACAGTGTGGGAATGTCGATGGTCAGGTCTCAGTTCTTTATCGAAGGCCATCATGTTCCATTCCTGTCTGCGGTTTCTTGCTTTACGCACCTTCTTCACCTCTCTCTGCAGCGTGCCGTCCACACATCGCCTCTGCTCCTGTCGCAAAGTATCAAGTCACAAAGAGATGTTCAATTATCACATATGACTATTATACTATGTATAATCACGTTCAGCAAAATGCTGCATAATGGGACACAATCACAGCTAGTCAGAACATATTTTATGTTTAATATACATTTATGTGGAGTGGGAAGTTTGAAAAATGATATTTCAACATACAGTACCAGTAAGTTTGGGGTCAGTATTTATTTATTTTTTTTTTTCAGACATGTTGGTGTTATATCTTTCACTTGGATGTTAGATGTTGCACTGAGTAAATAAAGCTGGATAAAACAAAAACTGTGGCCGTCTTCATTTCAGGCTGCAAAGCAACAAAATGTGATTATTTTAAAGGGAGGTGATTTTTTTCTATACCCACTGTAAATATTTTTGAAGGAAGTCTCTTATGCTCATCAAGGCTGCATTTGTTTGATCAAAAACAATTGTTGTGAAATATTATTACAACTTAAATGAGCTGTTTTCTATTTAAATACATGTGTAATATAATATATATATATATATATATATATATATATATATGTAATATAATATACAAATATAATTTATATTTATATATTTTAAAAATTTATTTGCAAAACTAATGCAACATTTTATAAAATATTGTATGATACTATTTAAAATAATTCATTAATTCTGAAAAATTCTATCTTATCATTTCTGAATCATTAGAAACTAATATAATGTAATAGTTATATTATCAAATTTGGTAAATCTAAAAAAAAAATAATAATAAAATAAAACAAACAACTATAATTAATAGCTTGAGTTCACACATTAATTTTGACAGCCCTAAAAAATACATCTTGTAAAAATTTCTCTCTCTATCAAATTTTCCGTAGACCCCTAGCACCCCTGTGGTTTGAAACCCCCTGGTATAGATAAACTGATTTTTATGACGTATATCTCATGAAAAGTCCAACAAGTGTGATCCAACAATCATGTTTGTAAATCTCTAAACAAATCTGATAAATATTACAGAACATGCTTGAGCATGTTTTAGAATCAACTGTTCCAATTTGGTTTACAATGAAATGATTAATCTAAATAAAAATGACAAACCTGTAGTCGACAGGTGGGAGGGTCACAGAGCCATTAATTGTGTTTGATGCTGGTGGAGGAGGCGGAGCATGGTGCGGACGACCCAGTGTGCCAGAACGGTAAGCCATAGACCCTCCCCGGTAATCCTGCTCCATGGTCATGTGGCTATGAGCTGACAGGGCCGCCATACTGGGTGGAGGCCCTGAGTAAGTGTGGGCGTGACCAGCATGGTTGGCCATGGAGAGATAACCATGATCTGCATGATCTCCATGAGACCTGCATGAATTATGAATCAGATTAGATGAAACGGAGTTTATATATGTGCACTCAAGTGCATGTAGTCTGTGTTACCTGTGCTCTGGGGACATGGTGCCCTCCGTGGAGCCTCCTCTGTGCACAGTGTGGGAATGTCGATGGTCAGGTCTCAGTTCTTTATCGAAGGCCATCATGTTCCATTCCTGTCTGCGGTTTCTTGCTTTACGCACCTTCTTCACCTCTCTCTGCAGCGTGCCGTCCACACATCGCCTCTGCTCCTGTCGCAAAGTATCAAGTCACAAAGAGATGTTCAATTATCACATATGACTATTATACTATGTATAATCACGTTCAGCAAAATGCTGCATAATGGGACACAATCACAGCTAGTCAGAACATATTTTATGTTTAATATACATTTATGTGGAGTGGGAAGTTTGAAAAATGATATTTCAACATACAGTACCAGTAAGTTTGGGGTCAGTATTTATTTATTTTTTTTTTTCAGACATGTTGGTGTTATATCTTTCACTTGGATGTTAGATGTTGCACTGAGTAAATAAAGCTGGATAAAACAAAAACTGTGGCCGTCTTCATTTCAGGCTGCAAAGCAACAAAATGTGATTATTTTAAAGGGAGGTGATTTTTTTCTATACCCACTGTAAATATTTTTGAAGGAAGTCTCTTATGCTCATCAAGGCTGCATTTGTTTGATCAAAAACAATTGTTGTGAAATATTATTACAACTTAAATGAGCTGTTTTCTATTTAAATACATTTTAAAAAAATGTATTTTATTCCTGTGAAGGCAAAGCTGAATTTTCAGCAGCCATTAGTGTTACATGATCCTACATGAGCTGATTTGTTGCTCAGTAAACATTTCTTATTTTATTAATGTTGAAAACAGTTGTGCTGCTTAATGATTTCTTCGATGAATAGAAGTTCAAAAGAACAACATTTATTTGATATATTTTTTTAACATTATAAATGTCGTTACTGTCACTTTTAATCATTTTAATGCATCCTTGCTGAATAAAAGTATTAAAAAAATCTTGACCTCAAACTTTTGAGTGTTAGTGTACGTGGGGAAAAGAAGGGAAAAGAAAGAAAGAAAGAAAGAACCTTCTGTCGTCTCTTCTCTTTCCTCTTGTCTTCTGTGTCCTGTAGCATCTTCTCCTTCCACAGGTCAAAGAAGTAGGAGGGGTCAGTGTAGAACTTCAGCCCTTCTTTATCATCATCTCTATGGCAAAAAAAAAAAAAACATTTAATTTTCCTGATTGATTTTTATTATTAAAAGCTATTTAAAAAAAATAACTCTCAATTAATCTCTCTCAAAAAAAAAAAGAAAAAAAAAAAAGAGCGTAATAAATTTGGCTTCAGATACATTTATGTAACCGTTCCCATTCAAAAAGCCAGTTGCAGGATTGCTTTTATGGACCTCTTCAGATGAGAAAAGGACTTTAAAAGCATTTTAATGCATTTTTCTGACTGGCTGCTTTTCCAAAAGTGCTATTAATTGGCCATTCATCATTTATGCAAAATCACCAACAACTTTGTAAACCACATTCAGTTGAACAGACACTGCGCAGCCACTGTCCCTCCACACATTCTGCATTAGATCTGTTTAAGTATTCATGAGTGGCCCACATTCTCTACCTTGAGAACTAGTGCTCACATGAACTACATCTGCCAGCTCATCACTGCTCTATATTCCTTAAAAAGACTTCAGAAGAAAATACTTCCATACATTCATTTATGTTCATGCACTAAATTGGTCAATTTTTTTATACATACTTCTAATACCTATTATTTGGGGAAAGCATTAATACTTAATTTATTTCTGGAATATTCAATGGTATTTTCTAACCAGACAAATCTGTCAAGGCAGTAAAAGAATAATGTATACGTTTTAGGTTTAAGCAAGCTTAGGTTTTAGGGATTAAATGAAATGCTGTATCAGAGCTGCTTTGCTTGCTCTTGTTTTCTGATGACTGTGCATAGAAATAAACACAGCTGGCTATATATGATTGATTACATAGACGGAGAAAAGACCAATAACAATTTAATATACAAATATACAAAGATTGAATGCCAAACTTTTATATAATTATAATTCATAAAGATTGAATGAATAATAAAATGTATTATAATGTTGTTGTTGTTATTGGTAATAAATTAATCATTTCAAATAAATTTAAAGTCAATAAAATAAAAATAATTTTTAAAATTCTATCAATGTAAGTTAATTACACAAATGTTAAGAACTGTATTACAAGTTTATAAAATCATAAGGGATAATTATAGGTCAATACACATTGACAGCCAATAGATTACAGTACTTCACTTCTCAGACATTCCTTGACAAGACAAATGGCGATTAAACATGTTTAGTTAGGTGAAAACTATCGCCGACCAATGGCAACAGACACAGACAGGGATAACAAAACCCGACAAAACCCAATAAACGTGTCTGTTGCCGTTTGTCCGCATGTGTTGGCGAGGTGTGAATTGAAAATTTTTTTAAAAACTGACTGAACACCAAAGACTGATGTTATCTGCAAAACAAAGTTTGAGCAGAGTTTGAATGCATGTCAAATTATTTAGTATTATTTATTTAAACAACTTAATAATCATATTTCCACAATATAAGAGATCTCAGGTTTTACTGTGCTTGTGGTGACATTTGGTTCCCCAAAAGCTGACCCAAACATGTGCACATACCTGTAGGGTGAGAGAATATTAAGAGGAGGTGGTTTATCACTCAAGTTGTACATCTCCATCACTGGGTTTGGTACGCTGCTCTTAGACACCACCTGCTGGTCCTGTATCGTGGAGCTTTTAAGAGAGAGAGAGAGAGAGAGAGATTGATTACACCTGCCCTCCAGATTGTGTAAAGTAAACTCCAGTATTGATCCTTTAATTGAAAAAAGAGATGTGAGTGCATGCTTTGGTGTGGGTAATAGAGGAACGTAAAAGAGATGCATGAAATTTTTGCATTATTTATTTTTTTGTCGATTTTCGGTTTGCAGGGATACGGTGGTATTGATCTCACACTGGAGCTATGTAACCTCAGAGATTTGTTTTTGGGACAAATTGAGATGCCGATGGTCACCGTGTATTGAGGAATGATCCTGAGCCCTTATTTCCCAGAAACAGACTCACCCTCCTCAACCGTTGAGTCCAGCTGGGTGACCTTGATGGCAAGACGGTCAATCCGATCCTGCAGAGAGTTCGTCCGCAAATAGAACATATTTGCCTCATTGAAGAGCTCTCCGAATATGTCTTCAGCATGTTTACCTTTCAAATAAGAGGAGAATAAGACAACGTTTCATTTGTGAGAAAAAAAGATGAAGACAAAAAAGAAGGAATATATATTATTTAATATGAATATCTTTAATATATATTTTCAGCTCAAAATCTTTATTGACACTTTTTTCACCTTGGTAAACGAGTCCACAAACTTTCAATAAAACTTTATTAGGGGCAAAATTGTTTGTTATGGTGGAAATGACATGACAACAGCGGCACCACTGTAATTTGTGTAAATATGTACTTGAATAATTTCCACACAAAATATTTAATTTTTACTCTCTTTAAATTATTATGGCTTTTAAAATGTAACAATTTACATGCTTATAATGTTTTTGCTTATATTTTAAAACTGAAACTGTAAGTTTGAGACAAAATAACATATATGAAAGCAAAAATGACTCATGGTAAAATTTTCAAAGATTAAAAAAAGTTTTAATATGACACTAATTTTAATAACTAAAGAAATATTAATTATAATATAATTACAATATATTAAATAATTATAATATAATTACAATATGTTAAATATATATCAATATATACTATTATAATTCTAATTATTATGGTAACACTAGTGTGATTATTTTAAAGGGGGGTGATTCTTTTCTATACCCACTGTATTCATTAACTTAAAAATGATTAATCAACACCATACATTACCTAGCTATATTAAAATAATTTCTTTTGTATTAAAATCTGGGGTTTCACATACACAACATTCAGAAAATACAGGGCATTAAGGACAGAAAATATAAATAAGCTATGTTTACATTCTGCGGCTGTTCAAAACATGCACTGTAAAAACAAAAATCGGTGGAAAAACGGATAATGTCTTGAAAACCCTAAAATACACAACACAATGCAATGTGTAATTCAAAATACAGGGTGAAACACCTGTGAAAAATCATATTAATACAGTACATTGGGCCGTATTTTTACAAACTTTTCTCTGAAGTGTGGTGGAGAAACGTTAAAAAAGAAAAACACAAAGAACACACTTCATTTTTATTATCTCAACTGAAGCTATTAATAACTGCGTGTAAAACAAAAGCACACAGGAAAATATTTACAGGAAGGAAGAGTGTCTGTTCCTTACAAATTCCTGGCCTATGACCCAGCGCGCGCACACACACCTATATATATTTACCACAGATCACGCACTTACACTCGTTTCCAGTACTACACCCACCAACACATGAAAAGCATGTTTCCAGACATGCAGACGCTATTTTTGTCACACGCACAAATTGTCTACAGCTCTGCCTTCAAGTCCAGTGGGCTGTCATTTATATTTAATCCACACAGCTGCTACTGAAAGGCCCTCTCCTTCTACAGGCATCCACTGAACACCACTAGCAGAGGCACAGTAAAGACACTTGAGGGGATTTCAGGGGTCAGCTGGGGAGTTATGGAACAGAACAGGTGGATGGAAAAAAACAACAGAGGATGGATGGATGGGCAAATCAGTAGCTGGATACACAGCGAGAGACTTTTTCAAGATAATGGTCTTATGTAATGTAGTCGGAGGGTCCCATGAGTCAAGAGGAATTATTATTAAGGAGATTCTCTCTAGCATTGTGAGCTGAAGATACCACTGGACCACTGAATTATAGAGCACACAGAATGGAAAAACAAACCAAATGTCTAAATGAAAAAGAAATGGAAGTTTTAGAGTAATGTAAGGACGTGTAGTAAAAGCAACAAGATTTTTACATTTTTTCTATAGAAAATGTGAGGGCGAAACTAGTCACCATGTGTGGTGAATGGTTGCCATGGCATTGATATGTCGTTGCTATGGTGTTCTGAGTGGTTGCTAGGGTGTTTCTTGTTGGCTTAATGACAACCACCAAATGATCTAGCACAGGGCTGTCCAAACTCGGTCCTGGAGGGCCGGTGTCCTGCAGAGTTTAGCTCCAACTTGCCTCAACACACCTGACTGGAAGTTTCTATGCCTAGTAAGAGCTTGATTAGCTGGTTCAGGTGTGTTTAATTAGGGTTGGAGCTAAACTCTCCAGGACACCGGCCCTCCAGGACCGAGTTTGGACAGCCCTGATCTAGCACAACGTTTGGGACAAAATAACTAAGAAATGTCCACAAATGTTAACAATTCCCTTTTGGGAGAAAAATTTAAAAACATAAAGACAATAAATGACATATTTATGTATATTACCGTTTAAAAGTTTGGGGTCAGTAAGATTTTTTACTTATTTTATTTTTATACATTTTTATTCAGCAAGAATGTGCTAAAATTGATCAAAAGTCACAGTAAAGACTTTTACATTACAGACTGTGTCATGCCACAAAATATTTCTATTTCAAATAAATGTTGTTCTTTTAAACTTTCCAATAATCAAAGAATCTTGAAAAACAATTGTTTACACACAAAATATTAAGCAGACAAACCATTTTCAACATTGATAATAGTAATAAATGTTTCTTGAGCAGCAAACCAGCATATTAGAATGATTTCTGAAAGACACTGAAGACTGGAGAAATGATGCTGAAAATTCAGCTTTGCCATCACAAGAATAAATTACATTTTAAAATAAATGAAAATATAAAACATTTTCTGAAAATATTTTGTATATTATTGTTTTTACTGTATTTCTGATCAAATAAATGCAGCCTTGGTGAGCACTTCCTTCAAAAACATTGGAAAATCTTACAGACACCAGTATACTAGATGTATTATCAAAAGTTTTGACAGAACGAGCCGTGCTGGAAGCCATTGTAAAAATTCTTATAAAGGCACACCTTTCATATTAGTACAGCAAAAAGAAAAGAAAAGTAAAAACAGTCATTGTAACGCAACTTTAGTGGCTCATTGTTTAACTTTGGGTTAGGATTAGTCCTTACTAATGCTAATTAGCTTCGATCAACAACAATAGAAGCTAAAAGTCCCAAATTAGCCAGGTAAAGGTTTGTGTTAAAGAAACAAAGTGACTGAGTAACTTACTGAGACTGCTGAGTTGGCGTATGATGGCAGAGAGTGTGTTGTTCATCACACAATCCAGCTCGCTGCCGATGCCCTCCGGTAGCACCCCGCGGCACAGGTGCCTGGGCTCAATGTTTCTCTTCACCAGCGGCATGACTGCTGCCCCTTATACAGCCACAGCACACTCTACCTGCCCAGACAAAACACAAACACTGTATTTAAAAACACACACATGTGCACAGACTACAGCTGAAGCATGAAGGCAAGGTCCATTAATCATGTTTACTCAGTTTTCAACTGTATTTGGATGAAGCTCATATTATATAACAGACACCCACACATTGAGAGAAAGTGAATGTTCAAATGAAACTGGGACAGCTGGAGATCAGGAAAAGGGAACGGAGTTACTCAGGTTTTGGTTAACCCTCTTACACTGTTCAAAACCCATACTGACCGCTGACTCCGAAATCACACTCCTAACGTTCAGCACAAATGAAGCTCAATCCATTCCAACACAAACGGAAACACAGACTATAACTCCCTTCACAAGCAGCTTAGTGTGGAAGGATTAGAAAGCATTAAGAAAAGAAGATACCGTCAAAGTAATCCTGTTCATCATCTGAGCTGCCCAGCTGTCAACAAGAGATGCAAACTGATCATTTGCTTCAAGGAAACAGATGACATTCTAATCATTAGTCTACTGAATTCAAGGGTTTGCATGTTGATGTGTGACAATCAGGAAACACAATAATATTATTCCTCTATGCTTACATTTCAGTTTTTTATTAACAAAATCTACAATAAAAACATTATTTTAATTGATTATAGGGTTACATAATCTAGCTTTAAAATTGTAATAATTATTTGTTCTTGAAAATGTTTGGAATATTATATTTAATATCATACTGAATTATTTTGAGTCAAAACTCAAATATGATCATTTCAGAATTAGATACACTACATTTTTTTTCTTAAGCAACAAATCAGCATATTAGAATGATTTCTGAAGGATCATGTGAGACTAATGACTGGAGTAATTCAATTTTGCCATCACAGAATAATTTGCATTATAAAATAACTTTAACAGCAATTTGAAATTGTAGTCATATTTCACAATGTTACTGTTTTATTGCATTTTTCATCAAATAAATGCAGCCTTGGTGATAATAAGAGACTTCTTTCAAAACACTAAAAAATGTTTACAATCTACATTAAATATAATACAATATGAGTTTCTTTGTTTCCCCATATTTTTCATTCTTATTCATTATTTATATTTTCCCCATATTTCCCATATATTGGACATCTTTACATCATAAAAAATATGTAAAAAGGGTATTAAACAGAGCCAGAATAATAATAATACTAATAAAAAAATATTTGATTTACTGAATAAGAAGCAAAGTAATGTAAATATTGTCTTCTGTGTAGTTATTTATGTTATATACAGTCTATTTACTGATGTGACTGATGTAAAATATTGCTTGACATGCAAAACTGTCAAACCATATTTTATAATATTATCCATATTATAACTGTTTTATGACAGTTTGCTTCTTTACGTCTATGTATGAGACAAATATTGTGCATTTCCATGTGCAAAGTTTCTCATCCCTCCACATAAGTAGCCTAACTAAGCCATGTCATCTGGTTCAACTGACACCATGACAGAATGCTCCCATCTGTGAAAGAATAACCCCCACAATGATTGGCCAGCTGAGAGGCCATCTGCTGTGTGATTGGCTAAGGGGGTGGGGGGAGCTGAAAGTCAAAGATTATGGACAAGAACAAAGGGATGGTGGGACAGCATCTCAGAGGTCATCTTATCTGCCTGTTTCCCTGCTTCCTGTTTTCCAGCTCCACACCCAGCTCTCTGCTTCCTGATCCTCTCTGTGTCACATCTCCAACTTCCTGTCGTCCCAAACAGCCAGAACAATGATGCAGTAGGGGTGTAAAGCAATTTCATTTGCACACAATCACAACACTTAAATAACTACTATGTAACCGCTTATTTCCTCTCATATCCCGCTTGTACAATCTAAACATAACTATGAATGCAACTTCTGTCTACTCCCTGAAACCAGGCCCACATGGAATCCACTGACTTTTTCACCTTTTCTATGCTGATTTTGTAGGAAGATCTGCGGAATTTCATCAAATGTGGTTTATATATGGTAAAATATGTGCTGAAAGGCAGCTAAAAGCATTATCAAATTAGCCAAAACATTCAATAAATGTACACGCAACATTATGAATGACAGAATTACATGAAATTGATTTTTTCATGTTTATATGTTTATAAATTATAGATAAGTTGCAGCTGAAAGGCAACTAAAGACATTATTAACTTAGCCAAAACATTTAATTAACGTAAACATTGTGAATGGCATAATTCTGTAAAAGATGGATTCATATTTGGGAAAATCTGAATTATGTAAAATAGATTTATAAAAGGTAAAATGTGTTAAATGCAGTTGAAAGGCTGCTTAAAGCATTAACGAACTGGTCAAAAATGTAACAAACATAAATGCAACACTGAGAATGACTGAATTCCACAAAATATATTTAAATATGGCCAAATTTGCGGAATTACATAAATTAGATTCACACATGGTCACATATATCTCAAAGGCAAATAGGCTAAATGTATTATTAAATTAGCCAAAACATTTAATAAACATTCACGCAACACTGTGAATGATGGGTATTTAAATTCTATGGACGGTTTGTTTCACGTGGACCTGCACATAACACACGCAGAAACGGAACAACGGTTGTGTAATACATTTATAAGAACTGTAGTTTGTTGCCATTTACCATAGTAACATCATGCAAGTGGTCACAAAGTCCATTGTTCTTACACACCGCCTGCCAAAGCTGTCCACTTCCCATTTAAAAGTGAAAACGATAAACAAACTGCCTCAAGCTACCACCTAATGAGACCTGAACTTCACTGCAAATATGCCATCATCAGGCCTCACACATGCACTAAGACACTGCTGTTGTTGTAGTCTAATGAGGTACATGTCTGTGAGTGTTGTAATATGTTCTTTAAGCACACCAACTCTCTACGGCATTGTAATTCTGCAGCGCACGGCAGTATGGACACAACCCACACTAATTACATAGTGCATTGAATCAAGACTGCGCCGGGAGGGGGGCCAGAGTCACAGAGGAGACAAAGAAATGGGAATGTGAGTCTCAGTGGCACGAAAAGCAGTTTGTGAGATAGTTAAGACAAGAAAGTGAACTGTTCTGGCTGGGAAGAACAGAAAACGTACTTAACCCCCGCCAACCCCACCCCTCTCTCTTCTTCAAATAAAAGAAGCACTCCTGGCTCGCTCTCCTTTTCAGTGGCCTTCTTTTTCCATAAGTCTGTGCCTACTGCAAAAAACACACACATGAAGAACACTTCAGTCAGACAAAATACAACCTACCATCTTCAAAAAATGCCAAAGAGAGTGTATAACCAGAAGCAGACACTTTGAGATGCTGGAATAACAGGTAAACATACAAAATAATTAGGGTGCATCACAGCTGTTTACAGCCCCATCAGTGCTGCTGTCAGGCTCAGCAGTCGATCAGACCCATCCCGTGACCACAGGAGGCCACATCCTGTCCAAACTAACGAGGGAGACACGCATTCACTCCCTAAACGCTCTTTGAAACGCAGAAAAGACAGGATGGCAACGCTTGAGCTATTCTGGAGTACAGCGCATCTCTGCGCGTAAGACTACATTAATATTTCAATACGGATCACGCCACGCATGATGATGATGAAGGCTTGTGAATGTCACGAGCCAGTTGCTCTGAGATTTCTGCAAACCCGTGCGTAAGCGTGGATTTATCTTAAAAACAATAGATGCATATATTATTTGAACACTTTCGGGATGAATTCATTACGTTTTCGGGTTTGGTAATCACTAAACAGTTAAAAATGCAAAGTTGCGAAATTCTGTTATGTATTATATTCTTTGATAACAGTTTACGAAAAGAGTACTTTCAGTCTTAACTGATTGAAAATATAGAAACTTTTTTGATTTACTCTTCTTAGGAGGACATATTGTATTATAAGGCATGCAGCGCTTGTTATTGTAACAATAGTAACATTATTATTAATATAACAGAATAAAAAAATAAATAAAACATCAACAATTATAAAATCGACATAATCTCGCCATTAATTACAAATAAATAAACAAGAATCAAAATAAACTCCCCACTAGAAACCATTTCCAGTTCCATTTATTATATAAAGCGCGATAAACAGTAAATATAACAAGTGTAATATGACAAAATAACTACATTAGCGAAAATAAGTAAATGTATGATGCTTACCAAAAGTGAATTTTGTTGAAAATAATATTCGCTCACATGTCCAGGTTTTCAGAGGTCCGGATTGCCATCCTGTGTCTCCATCGGTCCATCTGACCATTCCAAACAATCCGCTTGGGGCGGGGCATATTGGGTTGTTTGCACCAATCAGCGTTTTAGAATAGGAATTTAACGCGCTACCATTTGTCACAATCAGCCTATCAGATGAGAGGCTGGGGATGATTGACAGAGATTTCCCGGTTATTAAACGATAGGGCGGCTGTGTGAGGGCGGGCTTTATTTGGGTATTTTAGCTGGGCTTTAAACACACAACAGCTAAAATACTTAATAAAACTTAGGCTATTTCTTATAAAAGCAAAGATAGAATTGAAGACACCCTAAACAGTATAGGGTATAAAATAGGACATGGAACAGCAAATGGTCCACTGTCCATGGGTAGTAGGGGTCAAAGATAGAATTGAAGACACCCTAAACAGTATAGGGTATAAAATAGGGCATGGAACAGCAAATGGTCCACTCCATGGGTAGTAGGGGAGTGTTGATTGAAAATGTTGATTGTTACCAAAACTGGGACAATATGTCTGAAGTTCGTATTTAAAAACCCTGATTCATGTGGCTTTGAGCAATAAACATGAAATAAACATCAAAATAAATGAATGAGTCAACATTTATTAAATAATAATAAAAAAAAATTAAACACTGGGTCACAGAACTGAAAATTTAGTCTAATTTAAGATGTCATTCAGCAGGAGTTACAAATAAATTACTTTTAAAATGTAAAATTAGTTAAAAAAAATAATTAATTAATTAACTAAATATCAATTCAATAAATTTAAATAAACTAAAACTGGATCTAGTCAAGAAGGTCAAGACCTCTGAGGTGGGACAGGCCAAAATAACCATTTTAAGGGAGGCTAGTTTTACTATAGATAATAAAAAAATAAATTAAACATGGGACTTATAAGCCCTATAAAAAAAATAATTAAAAAAAGATTTTTCTTCATGAAGTATAAATATCATGCATTTAAAAAGGAAAAAAGAGAAAAGAATGCAGCCATAATTCCTAATGAAAATAGACTCAACTAAAATGCTACAAATTCATTTAAAATAAACATACATTGCCTGTGTATTATTGCCCCAGGAAATGTAAGCACTCACACAAACACAGAAATAAAAGCTTTTCCATTTTTTTTTTTAAACGCTTCCACTTTCATTGTCAGGATATTTATTTCATGTAAAATATTTCATTACAATACAGTACAATGCATGTTCAAACTGCTGTCCACACAACTTTTGTCATGAAGTTCTAAGGCCAATCTTTCACGCATAACAGCCTTTCTGACAGCAAAATGGAAGTTGCTGACCTCTCCTAACTTAAAAACCAAAACATTAAATTATTAACTACTAAAATCAAGTTTGTTGTTTCTTTTATACCGCCTTCTACCAGTATGATGCAGCAGGGGGCACTAGAGGTTCTCATTATGCTTCAGTCAGCAGCTCCAGCACAGAGAATTCGGTCCCCAGCAATGGGCTAAAAGAGTGAGTGCATGTGTATGTGTGTATAAGGGCAGACGGAGAGACAGACAGACTGACAAACGTCATTCTGTCTTTGCTGGCAGTCACATAGCAGCTTTGAGTCTTGGAGAGGCCAACGGATTTCAAAGTGAGGGCAAGAAGGACTGGGGCTAAAGAGGTTGGATGGTATGGTGGATCTCCACCTCACTCCAAACCAGTCTCACTCCATAGTGCAGCTGTTCAGTACCACATATTGAGAATGTTTGTTGCTTTTTTTGTGTTTTTCTTTTTTGTGAAGTATCACAGACTTGCAGCGAGGACTTGAACTATCACCAATGGAACAAATATCCACTTTTCATCAGCTTTTTTCATTTGTTTTCACTTAGAGTCTATTATTTATTTCATTTTTTTCTTTCTCCTTTTGTCAGCGAAGGATAATGTTGGCTGTATGATACGGTGATGTGTTGTTTGGTTACAGTTATTGTTCCTGCGGTGGAAATGCTGCACAGCAAAGCACTCAGTGGGTGGGGCGGTTTGGCTCAGGTCCACACCCGCCTCCCTAAGTACATTCTCCCTATTGGGCACTGTGAGAGGGGGGCGTGGCCTGACTCAGTAGCGGTGGGTCTGGTGTGAGTACTGTGGAGGCTGCTGGGAGGTAGAGGAGTATCCCATGCTGCTTTGGGGCAATGATGTGCTTGGTCCTGGGTTCTGGTAGGCAGCATGTGGATTGGAGCGCTGGAACACAGAAGAACAGCGTTCTGCATGCTTTAGAAGCAACACGTGATTCGAACTCAACAGAAAACAACAACAACAACTCATGGGGTCTGACTGACTGTTTTTAAGACCTTTAAGTAGCTCTTTGCTGCTCATGCATGCAGCAGCAAGCACTCAAGACACAAATGAATGCATGTAAATGGAAACTTTCAGGATCTAGATGAAAGAAAGCATGGAGGAAAATGGACTGAGAGGCTATCGCAACTAATAAGGACCAAAATGAGACGATAATCCACATTGAAGACCAGAGAAAACGTGAATACAAACAACTGACTAAATGTACTAAATTAATACATGGAAATATTTGCTTAAATTTGCTAAATTTCACAGATATTATGCGGTTTAATCTTTTTCCTACACATACACAATAGCAATGATGGAAAAGACTACTGTGCTGAACTGGCTAATGACAGACATGGCTAATATTCATATTTCAATACAGTTCACTACAAATCGCTAAATGCATTAAAGCTATTAAGAGAGACGATGTATTTTACATTTTGTGACACCAAAACAATGATAGGGTGATGTTGGCACACACACTAAATATATATATATATATATATATATATATATACACATAAATGCATGCATACACACATATACATATATATATATATATTAAATTGATACAAAAAAGTTATAGTAAAACCTTCTACATTGTTACAAAAGATTCCTTTTTCAGATAAATGCTGCACAAAAATCACAAATATATTAAGCAGCACAACTGTTTTCAACAATGATAATAATAAAATTAATCTACAGCGACAGTAAACACATTTATAATAAATGCTGTTGTTTTGAACATTCTATTTATTAAATAATTCTGAAAATGTATCCTGGTTTCCATAAGAAAAAAATGAAGCAGCACAACTTTAAACATTTATACTAATAATATGAAATGTTTATTGAGCAGCAAATCAGTATATTAGAATGATTTCTGAAGGATCATGTGACACTAAAGACAGGAATGATAGATGCTGGAAATTCAGCTTTGCCAACACAGGAATGAATTACAGTTTAAAATGCAGTTAAAACAGAAAACAGTTATTTTACATTCTAGTAATATTTCACATTTATAACATTTTTATTGCATTTTGACTAAATAAATGCAGCCTTGGTGAGCATAAGAGAGTTCTTTCAAAAACATTTAAAAAAATCTTAGGACCCCAAACTTTTGAACAGTATTGCATATTATAAAGAAATAAAATAGGCAGGTAACTGACTGGAAAAATTGGACATTCATCAATTATTGTGGCTGATGGGCAATAGAAGGTTCATTTCAAAGCCTGTTTGTAAAATACAAAAAATAAATAAATAACAAAGGTTTATGTTTACATGTGTTACCTGGTAATCTGAGGTCATGATCAGGCCACCTGAGGTAGTAGTGGGCGGAACCACTCTCACCTTCTTCAGAGGCGGGCCTTGTGCGTGGCTGTTGTCAGGGTTACCTGTGTGACCCGCCCCATTGGTGTGGTTGTTCCCCTGCTGCTGCTGCTGCTGGTTTTTCTGCAGTTGTAGGAGAGAAAGAAAATTACAATGCATAAATCTCAATTAAAAATGTAATTAACTACATCATAGTTAGAAACTAAACGGACAGAGACACATTCACACTGACACAGAAATACTCAAAAAGCAGAAAACACACATTTCTTACTTTATCTGCCTTGTCTTCCGGCTCTTCTTCTGTCAGGAATTCTCGTTTGGGATAAGGAATCTGGCAGCCAGCAAAGACACTAAACAAAACAGAGCTATTTTAAATATACCCTAAACAATATCTTATGTAAGTAGAGCACCGTGGTTGCCCTAATTTCAGTGTACAAACATTAAACATACAAAAATCCTAATCCCAATTGTTTAGGTCATGCAGAAAGCTGATTCTGCTCCTAAAATCACTCACTCAGACGTGGGTAAAGGCTCCTCCAGGAAGTACGAGTCTTGCATGGCCTGCTCAGATGTGATTCGGCGGATTGGGTCCATAGTAAGCAGCTTTTGCAGCTGAGAGGGAGTTCATAAGTTTACAGTTAAATATATGAGAACGAATAAATGAGATTTGCAATTCTATTCGCCCACTTACCAAGTGGAATGCTTTGCTGTCAGGTTTAACTTTATGTTTCTCCATATATTTTATAAGGCTGCAGTTAGTGTACCTACAGCAAGAGGAACAAATGCCATCAAATAAAAAACCCTAGTCAATGAAAGGCCTTATTAGTATGACATTTTTACAGTCAAAGATGAAATCAAACTAACGTATTCCTCCTAAAGTCTTTCATCAACGTAGAGTGTTCCGGCATCTTCTTAATGTCTTCCCAGTCTTTATCTGAGAAGAAAATTAGATTACAAAGATTATCAGGACAATTGACTGAAGCATTGTTAACTATTAACTGTAACAGCAAATATAAATATTTAAACAACAAATATTCATTTGACAACAGTGTTATTTTAGCATTATTTGTATACTAAGTATTTGTTTCAATATTTCAAATTAGCCTTTATTTTTATATTTTCAGTGTATATATTAATTTTTGCTTAAGTTTTAGTAATTTTATGTTTTTGTCATTTTTATTACCATCATTGTATTTTTTCCCCTATTTGGCTATAATTTATTTTGTTAGTTTTGTTTTAGCATTAGTAATTTAAACTAAGTTATTTCAGTTAAAGTACAAAATAAAATCATTAAGAGGAATCAGTACCTCATCCAGAATTATTAATAATTTCATCCTTACACACAGAACCTTATAAATATTTAAACAACAAAAAGGTATTGATTTTTCACTTCTGTGGATTGTTTCTGCAAGAGAAAATTACCTTTGACTCATTAAAAAGACACTGAGGGACCTGTAAGAACTCAAGTAAAAAAACAAAAGTCTCACAGTCTCAAAGTTTTCACCGAATCAATGTCAAGTGGACGATGAATACCTGCAGGAAAGCCCATGACATTAAAGATCCGGTCCAGCTGATCGTGATGGTAAGGATTACTGGTCTTAATGTCCTCCTGTCGACAGTGGAAGATAGGCTCTGAGGTCAAAAGCTCAGCAAAGATACAGCCGATCGCCCAGATATCTGAGAAGGAGAGAGAAAGTCACCAAATCTAGAATACACTTTTTAAATGTGCATTTGCACACACACTTATACAAACATCTCACCAATGGCTTTGGTGTAATGCCTGTCTCCCAGCAGCAGCTCTGGTTATACCTGCAGGAAAGCCCATGACATTAAAGATCCGGTCCAGCTGATCGTGATGGTAAGGATTACTGGTCTTAATGTCCTCCTGTCGACAGTGGAAGATAGGCTCTGAGGTCAAAAGCTCAGCAAAGATACAGCCGATCGCCCAGATATCTGAGAAGGAGAGAGAAAGTCACCAAATCTAGAATACACTTTTTAAATGTGCATTTGCACACACACTTATACAAACATCTCACCAATGGCTTTGGTGTAATGCCTGGCTCCCAGCAGCAGCTCTGGTGCTCTGTACCAGAACGTAACAACTACAGGATCCAGATCTGCTAAAGGCTTCAGTGGTGAGTTGAAGAGCCGTGCAAAACCCATATCAGCTGCACATCAGGGACAGAATTTTAAAAATGGTCATGATTGTTCATCAAAACACTCTGATGCACACATCTCTCTTCTTTTTGTCACAAGAGAAAGGAAACAGAGCTGATGTCATACCTATCTTCACACGTCCTCTTTCAGGACCTTCTCCCATAACCAATATGTTGGCAGGTTTCTGTGGTGAAAGAGTCAAAGTTCAGAGCTGTAATACTTCCTCTCTCATTTCAGTGTGATAACTGATGCTGTAACTTCTTTGCAACTTTTTAGGATTTCGAAAACTTACCATGCATGAATAATCCTTTATAGCCATGAAACAGTATTTTGCAATATTTTTATCAGGGTCAAAATTTTTTTATATGATTAATCGCGATTAATCGCATCCAAAATAAAAGTTTTTGTTTACATTATATATGTATGTGTACTGTGTATATTTATTATGTATATATAAATACACACAGTATATATATTTTTTATATTTACATGTTTATACATTTATATATTCATATTCTTATATTTTATATTACATATAAATATATTTAATATATAAACATAACATTTTTCTTAAATATATACATGCATGTGTTGGTATTTATATATACCTAATAAATATACACAGTATACACACATATATTATGTAAACAAAAACTTTTATTTTGGATGCGATTAATCATTTGACAACACTAACATATATATATAATTTTTTTTTCAGAACAGGATGTTTTTTTGTTTTTTTTTAAGTAAATACTGATACTAATTGAGGCTTGGTTCAATTAGCATTAACATTTTTCAAGAATTGCTTTATATTTATTTAGAATTCATTCATGCATCATTTGGCAACAGTGTTATTCTAGTATTAAGTAGAGGTATTTATTTCTGAATTAACCATTATTTTTTATTTTTTTCTTAAGTTTTAGTAATTTTGTTATTTGCTTTTAATTTTTATTACATTTTTTAAAACATTTCTATTTAGCTTGTTCTAATTTCTAATTTTTACATTTTTCCATCTAATATTTTTTATTTTATTTTATTATTTTTTTAATTAAAATACCAAAATCAAATTTTAATAGTTTCACTTTTAGTTAACCATAACAACACAGCTTGGCGAATAAGTTACATTTATTTTTTTCCACAAATATCTCTTCCTCAAAAAGAACAAAATAAAATCATTAAGACATAAATTATGTCCTTACATCTGTTGTGACACAAAAATATAAAAAAATTATTTTATAAATGCTGCCACCTACTGGAAATTGTCATGGGATTTCTAATAATCAGCCAGGGCAAATGAGCTACATCTGGATGGACATTAACTGTTCAATATAACACACATTGAACCTCACCAGGTCTCTGTGCAGGACCCAGTTGGCGTGCAAATAGTGGATGCCGTCCAGGATCTGGTAGAGCAAAGACTTTACCATCCCACGTGGCAGCTGAAGAGGCTTCTTATTGGCCTTGGAGGCTCTGTGGAACTTGATGATGTGCTACAAAGACACGTAGACCCTCAGCAAGATATGTACTGTATACAAACATTTCTCTGTGTGTGTGCATGAGCGTTTGACTGTATGTTACCCAGAGGTCATGTTCAGCGTAGTCAAAGAGAAGCCACACTTTGCGGTCTGCATGTGACAGGAAAACCTTCTGCAGCGAGATCACATTGGGGTGCTTCAGTTCACGCAGCAGCTGCAGGGAGCAAACAAGAACGAACACACACACACACAAGCGCACATGCTGAGACAGACATCTACAGAGCACCCAAAGTACACAAAATCACTTCAGCCTGAAGTATGCTTATTAAAAGGATAGTTAGGCCAAAAATAAAAAAATTCTGTCATTGTTTATTCACCCTCCCCTCTCGTTGTTCCAAAGCTTTATGACTAAGGAAGGCAAAAGCAGAAATTTTGAATAATGTGCTGGTTGCTCTTTTCCACGCAATTACAATGAATGGGGACTGGAGTTTTGTAGCTTCAAAAAGGACACAAAGCATCATAAAAGTGGTCCATATGACTAATACACTATATTTCAATTCTTCTGAAACCAAATGAGACATTTGTGTGATGAATAAACCAAAATATAAATAGTTATTTACTAATAATCTTCACATTCAGTGAACTGTTAATCGCTGAACTGGAGAACCGGATCAGTTGAAAACAAATTTATGGCTGCGTCTGAAATCACATACTCTTCTGACTACTTCTTTTAAATAAGTTGTTCCGTATAGTATGAATATAATCCGGACCTACTACATTCATCATGTTGTCATAGTCATGTGATCTACCCGTGTCAGTTGAATCACTTCACTACCTTTCACAAATCCTCTCCCGTGGCCTCATGGGATAGCAAAGTGTCCACACTTCAAAATCCCTCTGGAAATAGTATGCCAGCTGGGAAGTTTTTGGCTATTTTTTATGAATATTTGTGAATTTGGACATACTACTCTGTTCACCTAATATATTGTAGGGAAGTATGCGATTTCGGGTGCAGTCATTCAGCTGTTTTGTGAACTGCATCCCCTGAATCATTAACCCAAAACAATCGTTTGTTTATGAAACTGACAAAATTATTTCCAGCATATCAAGGAAAGGTTCAGTTTCGGTCTGTTTCTCACACAAAGATTTTAGCATATGAGCAAAGTACTTTTATGACATTTTAATTGTGCTTTTTTATCATTTCGGAGCTTGACAGTCCTAGTTTTCATTCACTTTCATTATACTGAAGCCATACGGATTTGAAACAACAAATGTCATTATAAAAATAATGACAACTTTCAATTTTTAAGTGAACTATTCCTTTACTGCACATTACATGAGAATATAAGTATTCAAATTTTCTTAAAAATTCATAGAGCTAATAATAGTTAACAGATTTTAACTCCCTAAAGTATCCACATGCTATAAATGTATTTCCGGGAACTTGTTTAACCAAGATGGCATGTGCCAGAGCTACTTGAAGATCCCCTTCACAGGAACACGTTTAAAGCTTGATGTACTTACTGCTATCTCTCTGCAGGCAGACATAGAGATCCCTGTGCCTTCAATCTGCTTCAGAGCATAATCTTTATCATCCTTCCTGCAAATAGACATATCAGCATCCGCAATTACTCTTCAGTACACTACATTTCCCTAAATCTATACCTAAACATCATATTAAACCCCTTATAGAGGGAAGTAATCCACTGGGAAAGACCCAGCAGAATTTTAAGCAGATGATTTTGACTCTTTTATTACCAGCACACCTTCAAAAACTCACAAGTCTCCCGACAACTAACATGAAGCAAGACGGTAATGTTGAAATGAAATCCTACAAAAAAAAAAAAATAATAATAACAATAATCTGCCTATAAGATCTCACAACGCCCTGTACAGTTTCTGGAGAACAAATTAGCTGTAAACCGCTCATAAACAATCAGCTTCTATGGTGAACAAAAACATCTTTAAATGCTTAGGACCTTCAAGTGAGACTTTGGCCACCAGGCAGTCTGGACTAGTGTTGTCACGGTACCAAAATTTCAGTATTCGGTACCAATACCAGTGAAAATCCACGGTTCTCGGTACCAATTTCGGTACCAAAGCAAAACACAAAAACATGCTAATTGAACAACATTTTTATTAATAACGTTAAACAAAAATTAAATGTACAAAACCAATGCCATTCTTTATACTTATTTAAAGGGGTCATATGATGCGATTTCAAGTTTTTTTAAAAATATATTGTTCACTCACTGTAAGATGTTACTAGATCTAACTCACGTTAGAAAACATTAAGTCATTGTACAGTAAAGTCTATACAGGAGATAAAATGTGACGTTACTTTCATTTAATGCCCAAACTGTTCATATTTAATTTTAAAGGGCTTTTAAAACCTGCTAGAGATATTCAGCCAAGAATTACAACTAACTTAACAAAACAAAAAAAAACTTTTTCTGACGGACTGATATGACACTGTTAACATACATTTGTACATTCTCTAACACGCATATTTTGGATACACAGTTCATTTAAAAGCCTCTGGTGTGTAAAAATAGTAAATACCATTATGTCCTCCTGTTTTTTACAGTAATAAAAGTTATAGGAGCATTAAATAGTTAACAAAGAAATCATTTTGAACAAAATTCATTCTAATGCTCATTATATTAGCGTTAGCCGCGCTTATGCTAACGATTAACTACCTATACGCTAACGGCGATGTTTATTTCAATCCGAAATTCAAATTAAAATATGGAATAATATTCATAACAGAAGCTCTAAATATTAAAAATGTAATTGAAACTTACCTGCTTGAACTTGATCGGGGTGTTTTGTTAGTTTGATGCGTTTCCTCCTCTTGAGGTCGCCACTGCTTTTATGAAGAGGTTGCCAGGTTTTCACAACAAAACCCGCCCAATTGCGTTTCGAGGGGTCCCCCGTTAAAAATCGCGTTCCGAGGATAAAATACGCGTGTTTTGGTGGGGTTCCCCTGGTAAAATTCGCATTCCAGGGGCTAAATATCATGTTAATGGGGTCGTTTTTCAACCCGCGGACATGAAAAACAACCTGCGGCAAACAGTGTTAAAGCAGCCCAATTCCGCGGGAAAACCTCGCACTTGGCAACACTGGAAGAGGATAGCTTTCGTTTAGCGCATCAAGAACCGGGTTGACCAGGTACTCGGTACCACCGGTACTTAAAAAAACCTGGTACCGTAACGTTTTCATTTTTTTAGTACCGACTTGGTACCGAAATACCGGGTCTTTTGACAACACTAGTGTGAAATAAAGATAGCTGCACAAGAACCAAATAACCATTAGAAGTTAAACATCAAATTAGCGTGTCGAACAAAATAAAACAAATCCCATGTGATAGCACTAAATACAATAAAATCTTATGCAAATTGGGAGGATTGCTATTTCAGCTACCTCAATATGACCACTGATGTCCTGCAGACATTGAGGGTTATTTTCTGTCCAGTTTTCCCACCAAAAAAACACTAATACAAGTAAAATGTAGAATGGGATTTTTAGGTATTTTTTCAATTCCCCCAAGTCACAGCTCTAATTTCTAATCAATAAATGTGAAACTATCAGTCATGGTCGTTTCATTTCTTTCCAAAAATGTCCAAATAAGGGTTTTAATTGACACTGCAGCTGGAATTAGAAATTTAAGGCCCCATTAAATCAGTTTTATTCTTTTAATGGTATAATAAAATTTTAATAATCAAAAAGAATGTTTAATGAATTTAATTCAATTATGATAATAGGGCCTATGAAAATTGTTCTCTTTTTTTCAGACATTCTGTTTTGTCGGTTTTAATTTTTCTGGATTTATGATTTAATACACATTTACTTTTCAAAAATGGTGGTAATCAAGTAAACGCATAAAACTTTAACTTTTAATGAATCTTTTGAAATTTAGTCAAATGAAATTCAAACAATTCTTTTAATTTTTTTTTGACAAAGTGGTGCACAAGAGTTTACTGAATTGAAACATGAACAAAAAATTGTGATAGAGTGATATTCCTTTAAAAATAATGTCTTTAAAAACGGTATTATTATTGTAGTTGTTACTTTAAGTACATTCTATAGAAGACTTTTTTGTGGTTTAATATTCACAGACACTAGTCCACATTGTGATTTAGTTTACTTATGGTAAATTGTTCTTTTGATTTATTCATCCAAATTTTGCCAAATTCGGTGACATTCCATGTTATACAGTAAATTCCATTTTTATGACCGAATTCAGTGATTCCATCATCGTTTTATGCACCACAAAAATCAAAGGACCACACAAATTCAGCAGACTATCATATGTGTTGGCACAGTCTAATTAGAAAGCCTGATAAATGACTTGGGTGTTTATAAATGATCTAATCCTAGAAAGGTTACACTTGTCATACTGTTATTCTCAGCCCTTTGATCATTGTGTTAGAAAATAATCATTTGTCCTTCTTTGGATGAAGAGCACAGACAAATCCCTGTGTTTTTGTCTCTGATGTGAGAAAGTTTTGGAGAATATATTCCTATCGGCAAGTTACCAAAAACATTGAGAGCACAGGAATTTCAACTCCCTTTTTCCCCCAACAGACTTCTAATAAAACAGACCTCCCAATTCTCCTTCCAATCTGTATTTCAATGGTATATTCTACACCCATCCTCTTCTGTAAACATCAGTATATGAAAATCATTTCTGCATCACAACGTTAGTTTTTTTTTATGACGACAAAAACATTTTACAGAATTAGAGGTGCTTTGTTATACACTGGCCTTTATTCCCTGGAAGGCTACTGTTGACAAACCAATACGAAGCATGGCATGTCAAGGCTGTATTGATGTTATAACAACCTTTCATAATACTCAACGTCTGCTGTAATAAACTGGTAAGTGACACCAAAGTCACTTATGCAACCAGTGCAATTGCAGAGATACTTCAATAAGTCAGCAGAAGAGAAGTAGAAACCCAAAAAAAAAAAAGAAACCTGAAAAAGGCTAAAAAGATCCTCCTCTAAACCTGTGCAGGGGACACTGATCTCCACGGTAAAATCTCAAAAGTGATGTCAATCACACCAGCAATGGATTCAGGTGTCGACATGAAATTGGGAGACTAATGATATCTTCATACAGCTGATGTGACAAACGCATTGGAAGAGAACAATAACAGAAAATTGAGGCTATAAAAATTTAACTGGTTTAAATATGAAATTATAGGTAAGATTCCATTTTGTTAACATGAACTAACAATGAACAATATTTCTAAAGCATTTATTAATCTTGCTAACAATTAAAGAAAGTGAGCTAACATTAACAAAGAACAGTTAATAAACATTAACAAAGATTAAAAAATACTGTAATAAGTTTATCGCTCATTGTTAGTTAATGCATTAACAAAAGGCCCTTATTGCAAAGTGTTACCAAATTATACAGAAACATTAGTCTAAATAAAATATGAAACTATTCATTAGAATTCTCTGCCACGACAAAGGCAACATATAAGGCTGCTATAATGCTGTATTTTATTCACATGGAATGTAAAGCAGCATCAGAGCCTCCTTTTATAATAGAGATGCTGATTTTATGCAATGTTGTGTATTTTGGAGCAGCAATTTAGTCAGCTGCTTAAAGATGCCTTTAAGAAAGTGTAGTTTTTGTTAATGGTAAATATAGTTTTCATCATGGCGAAGAAAAAACACATGATGTTGCAAATCTAAATCTGCATCAAATACACCTGCATAAACTCGTCAATCACAACAGCACTCGTGCCTGCTGACGTACATTCACAATCCCCTCAAAATAAGCCTCCACTGAACCTGTGAGCTGTGCATATCAAACTCTCTCTGAAGACAAGAGACGTGTCTCTCTAAAACACCGGGCCGAGGGCGGACAACACACGGTCTGTTTTGGTTTCTGAGAGCAGAGCGACGGGAGCGCAGGCCTCATATCGCTGCACAAGTCCATCCTGCAAACTCACCCATCTTTCCTCTTTGCTTTGTAGACATGGCCATAAGTACCCCGTCCAACTTTACATCCCTCGTACTCAAAGAGATCCTCGACTCGTTCTCTCTCTCCGGTGAGCTTCACTTTGAAATCATAGTCCATTTTCACCGTTATTCTGGGGATCCGGGCTGTGGCTTCCCTTTAAAGCGTCGCTGGGGAGGCAACTTACTTCAAGCCCCGTTTAGACAATTAGTTGCCTTCCCTCGCGTCGCTTTTCAGCTCAACTAAAGAGTCCACATTTACCGCGAACAATTACGGGCAGCTGAGACGGCGTATGAAGCACGTGTGCTTTTAATCTGACAAAAAGTGCAGAGTGTTATTGGACTATCGGTCGCTTTCTTTGATATTTCTGTGCAACTGCGCCGCTCAACCGGTATCTCACCCGGGAGAGTTGAGCGTCCACGTACGGTAATGTCGCAAAACGTCGTGAATGGCACTTGCAACCACACAGACGGCGAGGAATGGGCTTTGTGGCGCACCACGTGGATTTTAACTCTTTACTGAAGAGTGCTTTTGTTTTTCGGTTTTATGCTTATGTACATCTTAGTTTTTTTGCATTTTAACATAAAATACATAGAGGAATGTACAAAATGTAATTAATAACAAATTCACATAGTGTAACTGGTTTAATTACGAAAACAATAAAATATAGCTAATGAAACAAAATATGCTTATTTTATCAAGAACTATCAGTATAATATTTATTAACTATAATATTGAATGATCTTATTGCTTTTACAGTTATACATAAAATACATAGAGGAATGTACAAAATATAGGCTAATTAATAACAATGCTCATTTTATCAGCAACTATCAATATAATATTTATTAACAATAAAATTGAATGCTTTTTTGCTTTAACATTTATACAAAATACTACACTTATTTTTATTATATAGTATTTGACGTTGTTCAGAATTGATAAGTAGGCTAAATATATATAGATAAATAAACACATACCCAACTCTATCAAAATGAAGCATTTCACTGCTCACAGAAATGTCATCCATCCTCTCACTGTTACTGTGGTTATTTTTTTTTTAACCTTTATTAACCCTCTTCAAATAACAAACACGCATTATCACTGTTAAACACAACACACACCCGCAAACATATATAATTATTTAATTATCTTTCAAATAATACATATTGAAATGTATAAGATCAAATTAACCTTAATAACAAGGTTTAATTATATCATAATTAAAGTTAACAGGGGGTTAATCGATACATATTGCGCGGATTAAAATTTAGAGAATTTTAGAGAGAGAATTTTTCATTCTCAGGGGCGTTTTCTCCAAGGAGGCAAGGGAGACTGTGCCTCCCCAAAATATTGGATGAGAAAAAAATTCATAGTACAAAAATAAAACAACGACAAATTACAAATATTACATTAAAAAGTGTATAAATCACTCGTTTTTCTAAAGAAACATTGTCCAACAGCGACACCAGCAGGTAAAGTAACAGCCCATTGAGTTTTAACAAACCCCCTAAAAGAGACAAGATAGTCTTTGCATGACCTGACATATTACTCGTATCCAAAATGAGGCGATGTGAACATTATGGAGCGCTAAACACCAAAGTCCCTATCATATTTTTAGTCTTTGTAAATGCTCTCATGCAGTGTATGTTTCATTTATACTGGAAGCCGGAGGGCGCTCTCCCGCAGAAAGTACAAAACAGCCTCATACAAGTAATAACTTTTTTAAAATTATTATTCTTATGATTTTTTTATTGCAGGAAAACACAAATACAATAAGGCAGTACAAAATCTTAAGAAGATCCAAAAGAACAGAGCACAACACTAAATGGAAATCAAATAAGAAAAAAAATTACACAGGTCTTGTTTAAACTTCTTCAATAAGCTAAGTAGTCTTCTTCCAGTTTTGCATTTTAACATCCTTAAAGATTTACAATACATCCAAAATTCCTTTTGAAAAACAGAAAACAATGGCTTTTTTTAAAATCACTTACATTTATGAATATAAAATTTCCCCAAAATGAAAACATTATTCAGTAAAAATAATGAAGAAAAATGCAGAAAAGTAATAACTTATGACCTGCCTGGAAAGCCCTGGACAAAGGCATCCGGCTGTAGCTAAGCAGAATAAAAAGCAGAAACGTTTTGACTGATGAAACGTGAAGACAATAATAACACGTTTGCGACAATACATGGTTTATATTTTTTCAAGTCATCTCCAGGTAACAAATAAATAAAGTATATGAATGATGCAATGTTAATTGGCATATCATTTATTACAGTAGCCTTTAGAAACTATAAAATATATTTTCTGATTTATTCTGTGATAAAAATGGCAAAAAAAGTTTTTGTAGTATATAAATCAATCATAAAATATTCATTAGGAAAATGTAGGAAATATAGAATACAAATGATTGGTTATTGAGTAAGAGTATAAAAGTAAGCAATAAGAAAATAATAATAATAATAATAGAACAAAAAAAAAATCACCTGTGTGGGAGTTTTTAGTGAGTAATCAGCTTGGTGAAATTGAAAGTAAATCTCAGTGTCTGTGACAATATTTACCTAGCTTTGATGACTGATTATCCGAAAAATTCAAAATAGTTAAAAGATAACTATTAAAAATAATAGCTGAACATAAGTTCACAAATAAAATATTGTATAAGTTGTTACTGCCTTGAGTTATTATTTTGGAATAAATGTAAAATGGCTTTAGCATACTTGGCTTTAACAAATAGAATATTGATTATGAATTGATTATAGAATACAATACAATATTGATTATAGAATATTGAATGTAAAAATATAAAATGGAATTGTTTTTTTCTTTCTGATAGTGTAAGTAATTATTTAACCAAGAAGATGTGACTGGGACATGAATTTACATTTGATTTAAAAAATAAAAATAAAAACTTTGAGGACTTTGCCTCCTCATTTCAGAACACTACCGCACACCACTGTGTCTAAGGTGTTAAAATATGGGCCAAAATATTGAAAAGTAAAAAATGGGCTCTAAAAATGAAAAGTGAAATGGGGTAAAGAGGGTGAAAATCCCACAAATGTCTCTAATTAGGAGGAGCGTGAGACATGGGCCCGACCTGACACCGAAATGTGCCAATAAGCACTTATCATGGCTAATTGGCTCGTTACTTATTCACTAATGGCTTCTTAATGTTTTCAGCCGTCATATTGAGTAAAGAATATCCAGCAGCCGTCTGAAAAGGTAGGATTTGCGGATGTATTATTGTGGGAAAAGCTGGATGCCAACCGCCGTTAAACTGGAAAGAAGAAGAATTATTGTGGGAACTGGTTTTGCGCACATGGTAGTTGTCCGGACAGTTGTCTGTGTAGCTCCGTTGGTCCCATCTTGGCTACATTGTAATCAGAGCGGAGAGGAAAGAGAGCTCGTCCATATTACAGCTGCTGTTTCAGGTACTTACATATCTATTACTACCTCCGTTTCTTTATTTTGTTTTCATTTTGGACAGTGTTATTACATTTCGTATTTTCTGTTACATTCTGGTGTCAGTGACATTTTTCCCTCATCTTGTCAAAATAATGATCTAAACCTTTCATTGGCCCACAGTTAGCTTGTCAGCAATCTGTCGACACCATCAAAGATGTTGCGCATTTAAAATGACAGCTCGCTCCACCGCATGGTTTGCGTTTGCCCGATGACAGACGATGGTGACAGTTTAATGACAAATTTCAGTTGTGAATTTCACCCTGTGTAGAGTGCTAGCCTAGGCTTTTTATTGTCTCTGGGATAGGTTGCTAGCTGACATGGAACCCGACTTTTTCTTTGTCATGTCCCTCCTTTAACCGATGCTGAGTGGATAATCTGGCTGTCAGTTATCGCTTCTCGGACGCTGATTGGTTGTGAGGCTGACAGCCCAGTTTTGGTGCCTGATTTGTTCTGCGATGCTGTCTGTGGCCTACTGTATTATAACAGAGCAGCAATACTGTTTGAAATGACTGAGATGTTATTCATATGAATTAATTTGACACTGTTTTCAACGTCACGTGGCTCTCGGTGTGTTTTGACCTGTGTCAAAGCGGTTTTGCTTCCATACTGGGATTTACGGATTGCCTTTGAGGCGTTCATTTTGTCGTGCTGTCTCTTAATGGTGGCTATGTTTTAGACAGAGAGAAGTTTATGCTTCAGACTCTCCTTACATATATCCACGATATTTTGAGTACATTTTCTTGCTGTCTCAAGTTAATTGTTTATATGTGGAGCTGGTTTGCATATTATAGACCATGATTTCATACGGGTAAACTGATCATTGGGAGATTCTAGAGTGATTTTTTAATATATATATTGTATTAATGTTTTTATTAAAGATGAATAGTTGACAGTTGAGATATTTTAGGGAAATTATCATGTCCTATAATGTGATATGTTATTTTTCATCAAAATCCTTTTTTTTTTTTTTTTTTTTTTT